GTTGAACAATAATGCGTCTGTGTTTGCTATCATTGTTACAAAGACTTAGAACTTCCGACGACTGTTATCATGTTTCTCGACACATAGACGATGCGTGTAGGTTATCATCGCTTATCTCTTCTGTAATTTTTTTTAGTATGTTCGTATCCGGTAAAAATTGAATGGGATTAACTGTACTGTTTTGTAGTAATAATTAGAAAATAACCAGTTGCGATTTGACGTCGTCTGTACCGTATTTTATAGTTCGATATATCTACTTGCTTTTAGATATTCCGTTTCATTTTAATATATACTCTCTCCTCTGTTTTATTATTATTATTCACGCTATTATATATAAGCAAACCAAACAAAAAGAACAAAAAAAAAAAAAAAAAAAACAACTACTACATCAACACGCCCGAAAAGAAAGAAAAAAATATTATTTTATCGCGATTATTATGGAAATCGCGTGTAATAATAAACAAAATCTCTACAATTAGGGATACTGTTATGATATGCATCGATTGTGATAAATACTAAATTGACACTTTTAATAGTTACAATTTTATTTATATAGTATAGTTTCTGGATATGCGTTATAGTTCTATATATATTTCGCTTTAGTGAGTTTTTGTAATTTAGTCTGAAAGATGTTATATGACATAGTTAAAAACTCTGTTGAGGTGACATACATGATACATAACTTGTCATTGGTTATAGTTTTTTTGTATTACTCATTCAAAAAAGTTGTTTCTCAAAATGCATCGTGTGGTTTTGGTTTCCGTCGTTAGGTAAAATGGAACTTTATTTGCGTCCCTAATAACTTACACCATTTGTATATATTATTATTATGGTGTTGATAATAGAGTGATATTTTTTACCCTTAAGTTTCGTTAGTATATATTTCAGTTTAACTGTTGAGATTTGGTTTCTTTTTTAAAAACTTAATTTATTAATTTTATGGATAAATTCTATATCGTTTAATCAATAGTCGTTTTTGTTAATTTTCTGATTTAGTTTTTAATATATATTTTCCATTTTTATGTTCTTTCCAAATAATCGTTAGGTCTACATATATGTATCCCGCATTTATACCTCATTGGAATATTTAGCCGCGTAATCTTTTGTTATGGGTTCTACAATGATACCTTTTACATCTGATTCATGTGATGGTGGTTATTTTCGTATTGCGTCTCTTAACCCTAACATGGGTGAGTGGTCTGTCTCGGTGAAGATTTTGAATTGTTGGTCTGTTTCGCGTGGCACGGGTAGAGAGCTCAATATGATTTTGGGTGACGAGCATGTTAGTTTTTTGATAACTTACCTGCTATACATGTTTTCGATATTAAATTGAATTGGTTTTGTCTTTGACGTTTTATTTGCAGTTCACACAAATCCAAGCCGTTGTTCGTGATGAATTAATTGATAATTATCTTTCAAGATTGATAATCGATGAGTGGGTGAGCATTAAAAATTTTGATGTATCACGGGTTAACAGCATATTGAGACCAGTACCGCATAGATTCAAGATTGTGTTTCGTTCGGACACTTTAGTGCAAAGTATTAATATGTGCTCCAGTAGAACCTATTTCAATCTAACTGAGTTTGTGAGTATATTGAGTGGTATTGTTAATCCGAATATTTGCGTTGGTAAGCCTAATTTATAAATTTATTTGTGCTTTTGGAGTTTATTTGCGGTTCATGTTCTGACTGTATTATTCATGTGTGTGTTTCATAGATGTTGTTGGCAAAATTGTCAACGTGAGAGAGTTGGTTTTTGTTCCTTCCGTGGAACATTCTCAAGGAGGATATTTTGAGCTGTACTTTGGTTTACGTGATACTGAGTAAGTCACTATTCTTTTAAAGATTTAAACCAGAATATAATGTCTTATGACTTCTTCAAATCTTAAAATTAGGTGTATCCATCTAGAGTGTCGTTTAACGGGTGACCTTGCAGTCGAGTTCTATGACTTATGGAAGCATCGTTCACGTAACACAGTGATATGTATTATCAAGTTTGTGAAATTAGAGCTATCACAGGAACATAGGTGGAGATGTACCAATGTTACCGGAAGTACGAGGATTATGTTGAATCCAGATCTCAGTATTACCGACGAGATGCTTTGTTGGTAAGTATTTTTTTTTTCCGTTTACAATCAAAACTCTAAAGTTGGCGACTGGACATTCACTGTTTATGGTGTTCTTAATCGGATGTCAGGAATCCTGAAAATGACCAAGTACCAATCATCACACGGAAGGAGAATGCCATGGAGTGATGATGTTCGTTGATTTCTTATTTTGTTGGTGAATGATTTTAAAAGATGATTTATTATTATTTTTTAGCATTTATAATATTATTGAATTTTTAAAATTTCATCATTTTCCATAATTTTACCACACTAAATACTAAACAATTTACCATTTTTTTCTTACACTACCAAGTAACACCTAAACAATCCCTTATTTCACATGATTTTACCATTTATACAGCATTCTTCCCGCGCATGCGCGCGGGCAATCACCTAGTTAAATTTATTTAAAATGTTAATTCAATCATTTCCTTGTTTATTTATCTTTGTAATTATTTTGGATTATGTATATACATAGGTATATAGTAAAATCAAGTTGTGAACAAAAAGATGAAGATTATATATTTTATATTCTATAACTTTAGCTTAAATGTGATTATAATTTAAGATTATGTAAAAGGATTTATCAAAAATGAAATTACAAAAGATATTAATTACATAATTTAATTCAAACTTTTAACACACCTACATTTAACTTATTTTGCAATGGTATAAAATGCTGAGATCATCATATATAGATGTTGCACAATGTGTTTCAAACTTTTATATTCATATTATTTGAAAAAGTAATGTAAACAAGATTGATATATAAAATACTTACACATATGTGAGATATATATTTTCATGTCCTCGTGTCATATTGGTGTGGCGAGCAGCGAGAACTCAATTGAAAAAAGCTAAGGTATGAATATAAGTAATTGTTATAAAATATAACTTAAGACATATATATGTAAAATAATAAAAGAGAGATGGGGAGAAAGTGGACGAGTGAAGAGAGATAAACAAATGAAGTAACTTGTTATTAACTTTGCTCACTAACGATTACATATATATAGTAGAGTGGCTTTGAGCCCAAGCAACTTGGAGCCCAAGCAACTTGGAGCCCAAGCAACTTGGAGCCCAAGTTATAACAAGATAAACATCATCTATAAGACACGTAAGTGATGGATAATCATATCCATATTTATCTATTTATAATAGTAATTACTTAAACATTCAATTGATATTTAACATCTATAAGTAAACTATCATATAAAAATTGAAAACGTCTTGTTGGCTAAAACAGATGTCATCTCTGACAACCAATACTTTATGTATCATTCATGTCCATCTTTTCTCGTTAACGTTGTAAACAATGACTTGGATTACGAATATTAATAAAGTCTTTGGAAGAAAAAAAAATAAAGATATGTGAGATATTTATGAATTGATATTCTACATAATGAAATTTTTTCTGTTTTTTTTCTTTGGTAGGATGTGAATAGATTAGAAGATTAAGTACAAATTTCATTAGAAATATTTATTCAGATGTTAACCAAAAGTTTGAATATTACTAGAATATCATACATTTTCTAAAAATTACTCATATATTTTGAGCATTTGTGTAATTACAATTAACACTCTTCATTAGTTTTTTTTTAATTAATATTTTTTAATTCGTTTTTAGTTAAAAATAATAAATAAAAATTTGATTATCCATGTCATTAATCCACATCATCAATCTCACACTCCTCAAACTCACGTTATTTCTCATCTTCTCTTTTTTGTCTCAAAATCGAAGAAAAGCTTTAAGATCATTTCTCCTCTTCTCTTTTTTTTGTCTACAAATCCAAGAAAAGCTTTTAGATCTAATAATCTGCAACTAACTTTGGTACAACATTGACAGAGATCTTCAAATTGCAGGATTGGGCTGGATCTTCCTAGACCTCACAGCCACAACGCTTGCCATAGGGTCCCAAATCAAAAGCTTCGTCAGATCTACTCGCAACCACGCTCACGAAAAAAGTCATCAAAAATCAAAACCCAAAACAAAGAGATCTATGGAATTCTACATGATTCGTTACAGGTTTGAGTTGAAATCAAGAATAGCTACTCTTTTACTTTGATTTTACATGTCTCTCGTTTAATCTTCCTCTCAATCGATCTATTTGGAGACATTTCTACTTCTATCTATGTTTTGATTCATACGGTTTAGTCTTCCTCCTATGTATCTCTCAAACATATTTTTACGAATCTTAATATGATTGTTGTTATTTGACCAATAAATTTCATATTGTCTTCTCCAAAAAAATGTTGCTTTCCGATCTGTATTATAAATCAGCCGTAAAGTGATGTAACTCAGCCGTAACGTGATGTAACTCAGCCGTAACATATAATTTACACAACCTTTCGTCTTCCCTGAATGATAACTCAGCCGTGACATGTAATTTACCGAACCTTTCGTCTTCCCTGAAGCATATAACTCACCCGTAACATATATTTTACACCCATCTATCGTCTTCCCTGGAGAATATAACTCAACCGTGACATGTAAATTTACCGAACCTTTCGTCTTCTCTTAAACATATAACTCAGCCGTAATTCATAAATATCTCACATATCTTTATTTTTATCCTACCAAAGAAAACAAATCTATTCTAATCCTACCAAAGAAAAAAAACAGAAAAAAATTTCATTGTGTCTGCCGCTTGGATCATTGACTCTGCCGCAGCCGTATCCGAGTCACTCCTTACTCTGCCTTGAAGTTTTGGGATCATTGACTCTGCCACTAGGACTACATTCTCAAGATTACTTTTGGTATTTTCCTCGCTCAACCTCAAACCACCAAAAGAAGCAATAAAAGATAAACCTTCTTTTGCATTGTTCAAAGCTTTCCTGTAAAATGATACTGAGCCAATCAGTTTACCTAATTCTAAAAGTGCAATTGCAGAGTAAGCGTGTACCCCCAAATCTTGCGAGAAGCATTCTACAGAAGCCAACAAGAATGGGAATTTCATGTCACTGTTCTCTGTTTTAGTTACTTGTTCATAGAAGAAAGAACCTTGTAGGTAATGAACCATTCCTGGAACCTTTTCCTTCCCACGGACTGATATCGAATCCGATCAAAAATAATTGGATTGAGAATTTTTTTTTTTGATGAAGAAATGTGGGAAAAAAATAGACTATAACCACAAGGTTACATGCATGAGCACACGGTGATCACACCTTGGTCCATTGCCTTGTTATTTTGTACGATAAGATCTTAGCGGTCAGTTTTTAAAAACGATAATTCGAGACTGGAGGAGATCAACCCATCAATTTACTATAAAGAAAAGAAAAAATATTCGCGCACATATTTAAGTTAAACCCCAAAACGTTGATGTAGTAAAGTAACAAACTTGAGTTCCCAAACTTGACTACTTTTCTATCACTTGTTAGGCAATTGAACAGCTTCATAAAAGAGAATCTCTGGACAAACCTTCCTTTCTCCACAGATTCTGACCACACTCTTCCAGTTACCAACAACCTATAGTATCACCACACATATCAATACATGTTTTAACCCAACAAAGTTCACAATTCAGCTCAAGAAAGACAAAGGCAACTGTTTCCTCTTCTTACCTCTTCTGCTGGAGCTTCAAGTCTGAGACTCACCCACCGGTTCTTTTCATAAGCCATACAAATGTATTCTCCTTCTTCAACACAACCAATCTGCATTTCCTTATTCAGAGACTGTAATAGAGATATACAGAACAACAATAGCACAAACATTTGTCACAATGTTTCAGATTTTACCATTGACACAAGCCGGTAGTTAGTGTTTGGTTCTAAGCCTTCGTATAGCCTGCTGATATCTATCTCCCAGTGCAAAGCATTTGTTGTTTCAGATATTTCTTTTTCAGTTTCATTATTCTCCCATTCCAACACTAATGTTGCAAACCCAAAAGAAAACAGCAACAATTTTTTATCATACCGAAATAAATGAAAAATGGGTAGATAAGATCACAATCATCGTCAAAACTTACCAATTGTGAAGATAGGCGGGCATCTACTTATAGTGTGGTGAACAAAGTTACTCTCTCCACAGCCTCCTGTTCTAACATCACATATCATTTTATCGTTCATGCGGATCACTTTAAGGATGTCCTCAAACTTTATATTCCCAAAAGCACACTGCATATATAAATAAGCATTTTAAGTACCAGTTTCTGTAGAAAAGAAAATTTTCGGAAATAAATGAAACATACCTTAAGGTCTCTGATTGAATCTGCAGCCATAACAATTCCATAAGAACTTTGCTCTGGATAATTTGGCTTCCTTCTGCATTTTCTACAACACATTCTTTCATATCCCTCCAACGTAAAAAGGCGAGTTACCAAGCTTTCACTTTCTGGACTTTTCCAGCAATGACAAAACTCGAGGATCGCGACAAGTACCTCAGCAGCATCACTTGACTAAAATGAGTTTAACAAAAAAATCGAATCACATTAAAGACAACATTCAAGCCTATTCAGTATAATAATAATAATAATAATGTACTCAGAAGCTTTATATTTATCTGCACAAACCAGGGAATGAACTTCTTCTAGGGAAGCAAGTAAGTTGCTCAGTAGGTGACCATAGAGTTCCTCGTCTTTTATCTTCTCCGAGACAAAAGCAGAAAAGAAATCTCGTAGTGCACAAGGTACTTGGTTGTCAGAAAATGGTTTCCGATTGTTCACCAAATCCTCTTTAAGAACCTTAATGTTACATAGGGACTGCAGTAGCAAAAAAAAAAAATCAAAAAAGTAAGTAAGTATTGAGAATATGTTGAATCAGAAAAAGAGAGTTGACTGATTTACCTTCATCATCATGTCAAGAGCTGAATTGTATCTGGTTGCAGCTTTGCCATGTACTGACTCCAAATCTTCTTTAGGCATGCTTTGCATATCTAAAACAATAAGAATTATACAGTTTTCAGAATATTCGTCAATTAATAAGATCCTTTTACAACTAGAATCACCTTTAGTAGTTTCCTCTTGATTATTAGTGTTGGATGAAATTTCAGATAGACTCTTTTCAGCTTTAGTGTCTTCTAGTTCCATAGAATCTTCTTCTGCCCTGTTTAGTGTAAGAACACGTTTTGTGTGATGAAGCAGAAGCTTAATGTGGTTCTCATCAAATAAATAACACTATTGGTAAGATAACCAAAAGCCCTAAAAATCCTGAATGATTTATCCTAATTAAAATAAAATAAATACTAGAATAGATAATTACAAATATTGAAGAATTATCCTAATTCTACGCTCAATAAAACCTACAAACAATTTAACAACTTGCAAAAGAATAGATTTCTCAAAGTACTTACTGTTCGACATCCTGATCAAGATGACTAGACATGCTCTCTGAAGTTCTCTGTTATGCATGAAGACCATTCATTCGTACAAGTAACCAAAAAGTCAGAGAAGCAAATAGAGAATTTAGACCATCAACGACCTTGTTGCTTTTATTTTTTCTCTTCTTTGACCCTGACTTCTTCTCCTTCTCTTGTTTTTTCCCACCGGATAAATGTTCTGGTAGTGCTGCAGCTAACTTGGCTTTGGCATCTAACTCTTCCTAGAAGAAGATACATTACAATATAAGGTACCTGTCCAACAGAAAATCAAAGGGAAGATGATTTTTGTATAAAGCCAAAGTTACCAACTAACCTGCAAGTAAAGTTTCAGCGGTTGAAGGATATAAGAGCGGTAGTCAAAAACAGAAAGCCTGACAAGGTCGTTTAGCAAATTAATCCTCGAATTTTCAACCAACAAAATCTTTGAATCGGCTAGCGAAACCTGGAAGTCAATAGATACATTACTAAGACAATATATGTTATTATATATGTTGTTAACTAAAACTCAGATCAGGATTGAACCTTCTTGGTGACCACAGATTTGAGAAGATCAATGGACTTTAACACTATATCATCGCTGATATGTTTATGCCCATTTATAAGATTCAGGCAATCTACTAAATCAGCGAAATCAAATGTCGGCTGTGATGCTGCTTCAAGAACATCTCGTACTGCACACAAGGATAGTTTTGTAGTAAGAGAATTTCCAGCGTCTATCCTTATATGCTCTTCACATTTATCGCATAGAAGAGATGCATATAAGGTCCACTGATCTTCCGGAATATTCCTTCTCCTTTCATCTTCGCGAATACATAACTTCTTGGCGTCAATAAGAGCTGCATCATAACATATCATCCGCAATTTATTTTCATATTTAGTTCCCAATGTCCTACACGTGAACTGAACAGATCTCAGAACAGCCACCCAAATATCAATATTGTGTGTCCTAATAGGTTTGGGAAATCGAAAACTCTCATCTCTTGAAGAGTAGTCCGCTAACCAAGATAAGATATCATCTCCATGAACCTGTGCATTGGCATAGTAATCATTATGATTAAAAACATTGACTGTCCCTTCATTATCGAATCGAGGCAGCTTGCATTTCAGCAGTCTCTTATCCAGAAGGAGAAATGAAAACTGAGAGTCAAAGTCGATCTTTTCTTTAACTCGAGTACCATCCCAGAAACTGTCCACTGCTTTGCAAACCAGATCTGTGCCATCATCCCTTTCACCTTTGATGGCTCTTAGAAATTCCAGGATTTGACTGAGTTCATAACATTCCAGAAAACATATACTCTGAGGTGTTTCCACTAGGCGACACTCGGTAGTAAGGGTATGCTCGGAAACTTCAAATTGTGCAAGATGCTTAACCGGAAACTGCATTATCCAGTCTCGGATGCTACAAGAAAGAATTCTGTGGTCCCAAAATGACACAAGGAGCAATTGGATTTCCTTGAGTAACTTACTGCGCTCTTCATCCGCAGCTAAAGGCCAGTCTTTGGACCATCCGTTCTCATATGCAAACGCTTTCACATCTTGGAGCCGATTCTTAATCATCTCAACAGCAGCTGCTGCATCCACTGGTTCCCAACCTCCAACCGATATCTTACGAGCCCATACTTTACTTACCGTCTGGGCCATATCCTTTGTCGAAGACGGTTTAAATTCTGCAGCATGTTCTTGTCCAAGATGATTCTTACACTCCTCAGGACTAGAGAACTTCTTTGAACAAGATCGACAAATCCAGACTCTCCAGTTTCTGTTTTCCCTTGCAAAAGTGAGAAGTTGATCGAAAGCATCTCGCCCCTCTTTGCCATGCATTGCCTCGACGAAACTTATAAACTTTGCAGTGCTTACTTTAAGAAAGTTCCTTTTGAACTCATCATCCAAACCTCTCCAAAATGACCTCAAATTTGGGTCTGGATTTTTCTTCGACACAGTAGCTTTTGGTTCGCTTCTTTCGATAGGAGAAGCAACCAAAGTCTTACCTCCAATGATTCTTGACTCTGCATCTCTGAGTATTCTTTCGACATCCTTTTGACTCTTCAGCTCTTTCGGACCCAATTCACTAAGCTTAGCCAAAACAGATAAGTACTCTTTTGCTTTCTTAACAGATTTCTTGTAATACAGAGACGATCCAAGATGTTGACCCAATTCAAACAGTGAAAGAGCAGAAAACGATGAGAACCCTTCACTTTCCCAAAAGCATTCAAGAGAACCTAACAAAAACGTGAACTTGACGTCACTGTTGTCTGTTCTTCTCGCTTGTGCCCTAAAGATGGCACCTTGCTGGAAATCAAGTAAACCCAGGACATTGCCTTTCCCTTGTTCCAAAATCGAATCTTCAATAACCTCCATGGCCTTGATGTGATCTCCTCGAGCAAAGTAACTTTCGTCAAGTCCATGATCTTCCAGAGAAGGAGGCTTCATGTTGATGAAGAGTAACGACTCTCAAGCTTCTTGCACTTTTCTTGTTTTTTGCTTTTGCGAGAGAAAACAGTAGACGCGGGAAAATCAACGGTTTATGTATTGAAGACGCCGACTTTATCACGTGAGAGCCACGTGACAAGGGCTTGGAGAAAATACAATAACGAAGACTCATTGAGGAATTGTGTCGAACACCTTGTGAGCATTCTTCGTTTGGACTGCTTTGTTGTAATTTGACCTTCTCGTAAGTAGATAGTGAACCATATAAACAGACCAAAACCCAGAAATTGAGTGAGTTTTTTTGAATCTTCATGTTCAGGAGCAAATGAGATAATCGAAATTGCTTGGTATATTTTGGGTTTTGAGTTTTGAGAGATCTGTAGAAGGAAATTGGTTTATTATATGTTTTTGAGTTTTGGCTACCGGTTTAAGATGTACCGATTCTCAAGTTTTAAAATTTGAACCGGTATATGTTAAAAATTCAGGTTAAATTTACAAAATGGACCACGGTTTGGAAAATATTAAAGAATGTCCATTTTCCGGTTATGGAACACACAGGGCTTGAATGGGAAGCGTATAAATAGTCGATGATTTGTTAAAGTGTGAGGAACGCTAATTATTATTTTTACTTTGCGTTTCTTAACTAAAAATAATAAACAAATCAATAACAGTATTTTGAACCGCATATGGTTCAGTAATATGGAGAGGATCAAGTGGTTCATCTGCACATTGAGATGTTTTATTTCATTTATTTAAACTTTAATTAATTTTTTTTACTTTTTAATATTAAATTTTGGATAATAAATTACTAAAATTTGGATAATCAGGTATATAAATTTAGTTATTGATTCTATCAATTCTATACTATAAATTTAGTAGATTATGGATTTTGGGTCTAATTACCATATATAGTCATGAGACTTCGGTTTCTTCGGTTAGTTCGGTTCTTCAGTTTTTTTGAGTTTTGAAAATCTTGCCGAAACTCGGATAATTCGGTTCTTCAGTTAGTTCGGCTATTAACGAAAACTGGTCTTTTTTTTTTGTACAACCACTATAATCCGGTTAAAAAATAGGTTAACCGAGAACCAAACCGAACTAAATTTCTCAAACTGCTGATCGGCTAATGACCCATAACCGAAACCGAACCGAACAACCAAAATCTCAGTTCGGTTCTATTATTTTGGTTCGGTTTATTATCCCAACTCTAATCATATATATAGATTAAACCAATTAGCTAAGTTATCCTTAGGTTTCATTATCCAATTTTGCTTTCATAAACGGTATATATACAAATTGGATCTAAAAATAATATTATTGTTATTATATAAATATTTGTACATTGAATTACTACACTTTTTTTATATAGTACTAGATAAGAACCCGTCCGATGGACGGGTTTATTTTTTTTAAAATTAAAATCAAATTTAACAAAAAATTAATTAACAACGTTGTAAGTAGAAATTTTCTTTTAAAAGTAAAAAAAAATATTTACTTTTTCACTGTTTCCTTGTTTCTTTAACCACTAAAATTATTAATTCAAAATTATTTCGAATGAAAGATATATCACATAACAATAATTCATGGTATACTTATATGAAAAACAAAAATTAAAAATATTCATCATAAAGTTGGTGAATAAAACCAAAGTGGTGTTTAATTAGTCACGTTAAAAATATAAAAATGATAAATCGACTAAATTCTTTGGCCTTCCAAGCAAACGTGCGGGTTCATTTCCTATATATTCGATTGCAATAACTTTATGATCAATCAATAAAAATTAATAAATTCAAAAAATTATAAGCACGATGATATATGAATCTTATATAATTCAAATATGAACATAGAAATTGAAATAAACAATTTTGAAATAGTATAATTAAATTCAAAATATCAAAAACAAAATAGAAGCATATATGTTTCTTACATATTCAAGAATTTCAAATAAAACAATATAAAACTTTACTTAAAATCATCACATATTTCTAATTAGAAAATAATATTGATATAAATAATGTAAATTTGTAATATAAATCATGACACATGTCGTTATCTAAAATCATTAGAACTATGATATATTATAAATCTTATATAATTTAAACTGAACGTAGAAACCAAAATAAATAATTTAAAGATACAACAGTTAAACTAAAAATAAAAAAAAATTATAAACACAATGATATATTAATCTTTGATAATTTAAAGGAAAAAAGATGACTGGCTACACGAAGTATCCGCGAAGACATGGCCACACATGCAAAGTTTAAATATGTATCTCTAACTACACAAACTATATGTATCGCATGCCCACATTTACGAACTATATGAGAAGTGGTGAAACTCTTATAATTATTGAGTATGAATTACAAATTATTATTTATTGGTAGAAGTTACTATTGAGTTTAAATTATACTCCCTCTGTTTCGTTTTACTTGTCGTTTTAGAGTTAAAATTTTGTTTCATAATAGTTGTCGTTTTAGGTTTTCGATGCAAATGTTTGATGAAAATTCCAGTTTTATCCCTGCTGTTTTAATGTTTCGGCCAATGACTTTTTTTTATAAAATCTATATATACATTTTTGGATCACAATTAGCAAATAAATCCTGAAGTTGAGAAGTATTTACAATGACATGCCATTAGCATTAATTATTTAGATTTGTTTTATTTAAGTAAAGATTTTTAATTAAAATTCATTTCTCATATATTTAGCAAAAGTCTCTACAAAATCTTTCCTTATCTATTTAAGTAAAGGTTTTGAAATCAAATATGTTCTCAACAATTCACCAAAAATCTCTACACAATCTTTTTAAAAATCTCGACTTAGTTAACTTCTGATTTTTATCTGCAAAAAAAAAAAATTAATTGTAACGAGTGATGTAAAAATCAGGAACGTTGATACTACAATTTCTTCTACTTTTTTTTTCATATAATGAAAATTATTTTTTAGGGATATTTTCTTAAAACCTCTAAACAAAACAAAAGATTTCAAAAGATAGCTTCTCTTTTGGCGGGTTGACCCGCAAACCCGCAACTCCCTACGGGCATATCCGCATGAACCTGCGACCCGTAGTGGATAAAAATATTATTCAAAAAAATAAGAAATGATGTTTAATTTTACGGGACGGGGTTATATGGTGCAACGGGTTTAGATCAATATTAATATTAAACAATATACTATGGATGAAATCCTAGAATTAAAAATAAAAATTTAATTATAAAATCAGAAACACTGAACAAAATAAACAATATTAACAAAACAAATACAACTTAAAATTTTGCAAAATAATTTTTTAGTTATAAAAAAATCGACCCGCAGTAAAAAATCAACCCGCGGTGTACCGCGGGGTAAAATCTACATTTGGAAGTTTAAGGAAGAAAAATCTTTTTTAAAAAATAATAGCTCCGCGGTGTACCACAAGAAAAATATTTCTCCTAAACTGAGGCAAGAAGAAGAAGAAAGTCAAATGTCGTTTAAGTGTATATATAAATATACCATTTAAACCTAAAACACAATTAATATACTCAAAACTATTAATATAGATATATGGATGATGCATTTATAAAATAGGTCAAAATATTATATTATACTCTCTATTAATAAACAAAACTAATTATATTTAGATTTAAAAAAAAAAAATTATAGCCCCGCGGTGTACCGCGGGTTCAAATCTAGTATATTAATAAAAGGTAAAACAGAAAATTTAATGCTTTTCTTAATTTGTGTGAGAAAACCTTAAACGACAACTAAAACGAAACAGAGGGAGTAGTCAATATAATTTTCAAATAGTTAATGCATTTTAGTGGAGGAGTTACAAATGAATTTAAATGTGGAGTTACACATGAGTTTTAAAGGGAGTTAATTAGAGATTAATATATTAAAGGTAAATTTAAGAAAATATGAAAAAGAAATGCCAAGTGGACCAATCATGGGAGAGTGAAATCCTACTTTTATATGTATGATTATATAGGCATCAGCTTCTGGCTTGATCTTCACATGACATGCCAACATAAATTTTCCAAGAGTGATTGCCCAAATGTGAAGCTCATGAACGTCCACCACCTCTTCCATGTCGCACACTCCTTTTTCCATTTTGGTCGCGTCTATCTCCTTTGTTGTTGACTTCATTAAAACCTATAGAAATGTTCCTGAACATGCTAATTGTCAACCCCAACACAATGACCGAAAAAACATGGACGTGCATATAAGACCAATGCTCTTCCCCTCGGGTTTGTACCATATGATTACCCCTCCTATCATCACCCCAACACTAGGGATTGAATCACCACTTGGGTTCGTAGACTAGGACGCCATCAAAGAGCCATATCATCTAGATGGATACAATGGCATCAAGGATCTCGATCCTAAGGAAGTCATAAGACTGACGTGGGGCTGTTTCTCATCCTGAAGCCTAGAGAGAGAACAAGGATATCAGAAAGAGTACAATAATATCAGACAAGAGATGACCCGCATCAGTGAGAATGGAAAGGTTGTTGGCCTTGATCCCTCTAACCTCTTCGACGGTAGTGAAGAGGTCACAGAGCACAACAACCACCAAAAGCATCATGATAGATGTTGAGCGTTCTACATCATCTCTTGAAATATAATAGAGGAATGGGTAAAGTGAGGAAATTAGGAAAGCTGCATATATGTACACATGCATTGTAATGAGAAATTGCATAATGAGTTAATACTTGCAACACAAGAAAGCCTATAAATCTTATAGGCTATAGTAACACACTATGTTTTAAAACCGGAAATTAAAATCTCATTATTACTTGAAAACTATTAAAATAATTAAACATTCACATGAAGAATAATAAAAAAACTATAAATCCTTATTAAGAATGTTGAAATGAAAATTATTGATTTTTCGATTAAGAAGATCTTTCATATTGATGCAAACAACAATATCCCTTATATATCTCTTGTATTAAGATTTAAGTTTGAAACTAGATCATGACCCGCACGTACCGTCGGGGTTTCATATTTAAAAAAATGTGTTGTATAAAATTTACATTCAATATAGTTTTTTGTTTTGTTTTAGTGATATATATTGTAGTGTATATATTATAATAATATGTACAAAGAAAATTATAGAATTCAAAAAAATGAAATTAATTGAAAAAACAAATCTTTATTAATAGCAAACTGGAACTTTTGTTAATAGGAAACTGGAATCTTAAGAAAATGAAAACCAAATAAATTGACATCAAAGTCATTACTGCTTGTCCAAATAGAAATAATTAATTATTTAATTAGAAACTTAACCAAAAACCGAAAAAATGGATTCATCCGTCGATATTTTTACATACATGGAGAAAAACTCTCTAGCCACATTAATTAGGTTTGATCTCCAATAGAGACATGTCAAAGGAGTTTGATACTGATCTTTTACTTGTAAATCAATTGATTAAAGAGTTAGAATAAATGTGTATACATTTTAAACATAATCTCTTTTACAAAGGATAATATACCTTTCCAATGTATAATGTATTGATTTTGGAGAGAAAAATTATACACCACCACCTCATCACCAGCATTCTGAAAGATCTCCCCTATAT